AAGCTCATAGGGACACATCACTGCTCTCCTGAAGCCTGTGTGTCTCAGAGCTGTCACAGACCACCAGAAATCCTGTAGTGATCCCTGCAAACACCATGATTTTCTCGCTCTGGACTTCTGTTTGTATAGCTAAAGGCAAGCGCTGTGTTGGAGAGGGGAAGGGGAGGATTAAGAATGCGGGTGATGTGCCAAGCAGAGTGCTGCAGGATTCAGGGGTTTCCAGAGACTCAGGGACCCCAGGGATGGTGCAGGGCTTTGTGCTCAGCCCCTGCCTGCCCCAGAGCTTAATGGGAATATGAAGCATCAGGTGGTGGATACAGCCAGCCAGACAAGTGTTAGTTCTTTCTCAGCATCTCCAATGTTGGAGTGATTTGTAGGAAAATTACACTTTCACACTGACTTTCTAAGTTAGACCTGCCTAAAACTGGAATTAATGTCATTTCTGAAGTTTGCTTTTGGAAGTATGGACATCAGATATGCTTCAAGACTCACGAGTTTTGATGAAGTCTTCCACTGTGCTTACTTCTGAATTTTGTGTTTTGTGGTGGAACTACCTGACCTGAATGAAGCAAAGTCCTCTTGCTGAGCTGGGTAAGCCATGGCAGCACAAAATGCTGTTTTCTACCCCAAATCTTGACATTTAATTCAGAGTTTGGATTGAAAAACAAAGTTGCTTTTATTTCTGATAATTTTTTAAAGTCAGAAACCTTGGTAGAAATCTGCTTGATGAAACCAAGGCATTGCAGTAGTTGTGTGCTCTGTGTGCGGGTATATCGGAACACGACTGTGAGCAACTGTTGTCAGCCCAGCACCTAAGGTAGGTAGTGGGTAGTGTAGAGGGTGGAGCTGTCCTCTGCCGTGTGCCACAAGAACAAAGATGTTGACTTGGAAAGATGTCAGGTTTAAAGGAATTAGAGAATTCCTGAGAAAACGAATCTCTTTTGCATACTTGACTGATGTTCAGCAGGAGCCTGGATATTTATAAGCATTATTATACACTTAAAAGAAGGTGGCCAAATGGAGAAAGCCACAATAAAATGCTGTTTTAGGGCTTGAGGTGGTGTTGGGAGGGGTGATGGGGATGCAGATAGCAGTGTCTGGTACAGCACCAGCTCGGCAGGGAAAGGTTGGATGCTGAACCAGTGCAGTGGTTGCAGCCTTCGTGCATTGTGCTTATGGGCTCTGGCAAATGATCCCAGGAGAGCATCTCATTAAGCACATGTGTAATTGCTCCTGTTGGAGTGAACTTTGCCTGCTGCCATCTGCTCAGCAGATTCAAACGAACATAAAGGGGTGGGAAGAATAAAGTACAGATGCTAATGTGCTGTGTAAACCAGGAGGGGCAAGTGCTCCTAAATGTTTGGGCTATTATTGTGAGTTTGAGGAGCTGACTTACTCTTGAGTCTGTGAAGTTCCCTGAGCTTCATTTCATAGAATCCCAGACTGGCTTTGATTGGAAAGGACCTTAAAGCTCCTCCAGCTCCAACCCCTGCCACGGGCAGGGACACCTTCCACTAGAGCAGCTTGCTCCAAGCCCCTGTGTCCAACCTGGCCTTGAACACTGCCAGGGATGGGGCAGCCACAGCTTCTCTGGGCACCCTGTGCCAGCGCCTCAGCACCCTCACAGGGAAGAGCTTCTGCCTAAGAGCTCATCTCAGTCTCCCCTCGGGCAGGTTAAAGCCATTCCCCTTGGCCTGTCCCTACAGGCCCTTGTCCCAAGCCCCTCTCCAGGTTTCCTGCAGCCCCTTCAGGCACTGGGGCTGCTCTCAGGTCTCCCCTTCAGGAGCCTTCTCTTCTCCAGGCTGCCCCAGCCCAGCTCTCTCAGCCTGGCTCCAGAGCAGAGCTGCTCCAGCCCCTCTGGTTTGGAGGTTGCCACTTAGCTCTGGTTTTCTACTCAAAGTTAAATCACTTTTTAAGTTAATGAAATTAGCTTAAATACAACAGGGAGATGTTTCTGTCTGCAGTGTAATTCCATATAGGAGTCCTTGAACAGGGAGCAGGTACCCATAGTATCTCCTGCTACCTCCTCACTGACATGCACGGTGCTTTTTGTTAAGATAGCAATGTTCTATGGACCTTGGTTAAATTATCAATCATTAAAAATAGGTTCAAAACTCAGCCCAGTGCCAAAGAAACCCCTGCTGCACGGTGACTCTCCCATAGCCGTGTGTGATGTTCCCTGGCATCAGTTTGGTAGTCCCTAAACACGGCTCCGTGTTAAAGGGGGAGGAAGGGGTCAGCTTTGTGCTGAGGACAGAAAGCTGCAGTCTCGGTGGCTGACAGTTTGTTTCCTTCTTGTTCCTTTTGATGTCTGAAGACTAAATGCTGAGGAGAGAAAAACTCAATTCACTTAAGACATTTTGCATCAAAATGACGTGCTTTAATGTAGGTTCTTCTGATGTTTAAATTATCTTTTCATCTCATGGGGTTGGGGAGGGGGAAAGCCAACGTGTTTGTAGTTAGTGCCCAAGCAGAACTTTAAACAAAGGTCTGGAAGGAGAGGAAGTCGCAATGTATGGGCGCCTTTTAAGAGTAGATGCTTTCCCTTCCCCCCTCTTCTTGTCTCTCTGAGACTTGTAAACTGAGGAGATTTATTGCTGCCCTTCCAAATGCTGCTTTAGAATGAAGAGTTCAAATTTTTGACATTCCTGAAGTCCTCAGGAGGGAGAGGGATGAGGGAAAGTGTTGATCCTAAATGGAGCAGAGCACACCAAAGGGGTTTCCAGGCTGGTTTGGCCAGTTGTAGCTGTGTGTAGCCTTACTAGGAGGAAATCGGCTAAACCTGCATCAAGAAAACTCTTGGAGTCACGGAGGGATGATTAAACTGGATTTGGATGAAATTTAAACCTATTTAATAATTGCAGTTGTTAATAATTTAGAGAGCTGATTCCAGCTTGTCCTAGCGCTGTATTCATGAGTCTTGGTAATTTCACAACTCTCGCATCAAGGGAGGGACTCAACAGGGTCTTCATTAATCACTGCCCTTCACCAGATGTGGCTGTGCCTACAGATGTGTTGTCATGGGTTTGGCTTACCACTGGTACAGAATCCACTCCATCAGTGACATTCCAGCTCCCCCTGAGGCTGGCAGAGAAAAATTGTGTTGACTTCTTAAGTTTTATATCTCCTCCACAACCTCGGAAGGATTTCACCATCTGTGTTCTTTCTGCTTGTATTACTTAAGATTGTATTTTGGTATATGTGAGGCTGTAGGATGTATTTCCCAGTAGTGCAGTTGTTTTTCTCTGTCACTTCAGGTTTGGGCTGCGTGCAGGGTGCTGCAAACCCCTGTGTTTGCAAGGAAGGGTCAGCATTTTAATATGGATCTGCCTGGAAAATTATTTCAGCTTTTATACTGGATATCTTGCTTATGGAGAAGGTGTTTGATATACAGATGGAGCTGTCTTATTTTCATGTGGAACCTGCGAACACTCCCTGCCCTTTGGTTACCCCAAAGAGTGCACCTGAGCAGAAGGATGGGAGGAATTTAGAAGATCCTCCATAACATAATGGGCTTGCTTTTTTTGTTTTCTGTTTTTCAATGTATAATGACATAAATAACCTCAACATATTAATATTATGTTTCTTGATAATGAATAACCAGCACTATTCTTGTTCTGGCTGATACTATTGTCTCAAATCTCCGTGTGCTATGCAGCCACTGTTGCTGTTAAGACAGCAAAAGAATGGAAAGGAATTGAAAACCCTTGTGTGATTCTATGAATATTTTGGGACACCTGTATATTTTCTAGTGGGGATGGCCCCACTGTTCTGGAACCCCAGCCTGGTTTGTGTTGGAAGGGACCTTAAAGCTCATCCAGCTCCACCCCCTGCCACGGGCAGGGACCCCTTCCACCGGAGCAGCTTGCTCCAAGCCCCTGTGTCCAACCTGGCCTTGAACACTGCCAGGGATGGGGCAGCCACAGCTTCTCTGGGCACCCTGTGCCAGCGTCTTAGCACCCTCACAGAGAAGAGCTTCTGCCTAAGAGCTCATCTCAGTCTCCCCTCTGGCAGGTTAAAGCCATTCCCCTTGGCCTGTCCCTACAGGCCCTTGTCCCAAGCCCCTCTCCAGCTTTCCTGCAGCCCCTTCAGGCACTGGAGCTGCTCTCAGGTCTCCCCTTCAGGAGCCTTCTCTTCTCCAGGCTGCCCCAGCCCAGCTCTCTCAGCCTGGCTCCAGAGCAGAGCTGCTCCAGCCCTCACAGCATCTCCATGGCCTCCTCTGTCCCAGAGGGGAAAGCTGCCCTTGGAAATGAGAAATCCTGAAAGTGAAACTTTGGTGTATCAGGCAAACTTTTCAGGAATGCCATCAGTGTAAGCCCAAATCCTTCCAATCTTATCTTTCAGTCTGGAAGCAGAATATTAACAAGTGTTGAGTGGTTTTCCCCTCCATGTAACCACTGTAAATAAGCAGTGCTGGCAGTGTGGCTGTCACCTGTGGAGGCACTCCTGTCCCTCTGGGAACAGATGGGAAGCTCTCCCAGGGGAGGACACAGCTCCTACTTCCACCTTCTGATACAGCCTTTTTCTGCCAGTAGTGAGCTCAGTCTGGTTGTGTTCAAACGCGGCTCTCATTTTTCTCTTTCCCAGGTACCAAATATGTCTACATTTGGCTCACAGCCTCTCGTGTGTTGGCTGGAAACAAGCACTCTTATAGTGATGCTGGGTTTAGCGCTAGAACAGTCTCGGTTTGCACAGCAGTAGATTTCTAATGTGAAACACTTCTCTTAGCACCTTATGTCAGTTTGGTAACTAACAGATGTTTTGAGAAAAAACCCTTCTTATGTCTTCGCCTTCAAATCCCAAAGCAGCCTCTTCATGCAGATCCACACACAGTATAGAGGAATGCGATTCCCCTTGGGTAACCGTGGCATTAGAGACTCCCAGGTGAAATGGTCCTTTTCTGACACCAATTTCCTTGTCGTGGGGCCATTTGGGGTTGTTTTAATGGGACATTTTCTGGCAAAACCCCTCTTACACATCCTTTCTGGTTTGTCTTGCAGAGGATATTCAACTCCTTTGTGTACACAGAGAAGATATCCAATGGAGAAAGTGAAGTTCAACAGGTGAGTCCAAAAGCCCATTCCCATCTCCTGCTGCTCACCAGCAATACAACAGAGTCAGCTTAGAAATGACAGTTCTGTCTGGATTTATTGTGGCCACTTTCCTCGTGTCCAGCACATCAGAGAACAATAAATGGGATAGGATATAAATAGAGATGGCGTATATGGGCTGATTCTGTATCTGAGAGTTCTGCATTGCTATGAAAAGGCTTTCCATCTGCTTTGTGTGGGTCTGTCCCTCAGAAACAAAAGAACAGAGGCAGAGCTGGGGCCCTCATGTAGTATCTTACATTAATTGCCTGGTTTTCATGTTGGAAGTGGCTCTTTTAAAATGGATTTAATTCAAAGCAAACCCGCTAATACTGTTTATGAATGTGGAAATGGTATCAATTGCTTTGTGTAAATATGAGACAGGCTCATGCATAACAGTTGTGGTTGAGGGTTCTTTGTAATTTTGTGGGGGCTTTTCTTATGGCAACACATTTGAACATTTAACTCTTCAGTTTAACACTGAGATAATAGATCTCAGTATGAGGGCTGTTTGCATTTAATACATGCATACATTTGGAAAATCCATTCTGGATCAGTTTTAAAATGGATCAAATCAGCCATGTTTTCTTCTTTAAGATATTAAGGTACCAATTCTGTATGCTCACAGCAGCACCTTCATGCTACAAACATGATGGGTTCTGGGTAGAAGAGTCAGCCACTGCCCTGCATGGGCAGCACAGGCATCTGGACAAAGAACCAGCTTTTCCTTCCAGTTTAAGCCTGGGCTCCTTTGGCACAACCTTCAGCAGGTAACCTGGCCTTCCTAGACCCCTATCAAACCAGGTTTAATGTGCATGAGAAACAAAAGTGCCTCAGAGCAGGGCTGTCCCTAGGGAAAAGGGAATTGCTCTTCAGCATTGCAGGTAGCCTGCTTTGTGCACGAGCTGTTGCTGCTGGTTTCCAAGAGTGTATCAGTATATAGCATGCCCGTGTGCATTAAAAACTGGTCATGTAATAGAAACAAAGAATACCCTGAGTTGTGTTTACTGTAAATGCTTAAATTTCCCCATGGAAAAAGTCAAAGCAGAGCTGGATCAAATGCAGTTGTGAATCATAAAGTCATGGAATCATTTAGGTTGGAAAAGACCCTTAAGATCATCAAGTCCAACCATTTTATGATTCCCCCAGCACTGCCAAATCCACCACTGGCCCTTGTCTCAAAGTGCCATGTCTCCATGCCTTTTGAATCCCAGCAGGGACGGTGCCTGCAGCCCTGCCCTGGGCAGCCTGTTCCAATGCCTGAGCACCCTCTGGGGCAGGAATTGTTCCTCATCTCCATCTAAACCTGCCCTGGGGCAGCTTGAGGCCGGTTCCTCTTGTCCCATCCCTTGTTCCTTGGGAGCAGAGCTCAGCCCCTCCTGGCTCCATCCTCCTGTCAGGCACTTGTAGGCAGCCATCAGGTCCCCCCTGAGCCTTCTCTTCTCCACACTGAACCCCCCAGGTCCCTCAGCCCTTCCCCATCACCCTTGTGCTCCAGGCCCTGCTCCAGCTCCGCTGCCCTTCTCTGGCCCCGCTCCAGCACCTCAATGTCTCTCTTGCAGTGAGGGGCCCAGAGCTGAACACAGGATCCGAGGTGCAGCCTCCCCAGTGCCCAGCGCAGGGGCACAATCCCTGCCCTGGTCCTTCTGGAGAGTTTGCATTAGAAAGCAGCAGTCACCTCCTCTAATATTTCAGAAGAAATACGGTGGCTTTTGATGGAATTATGGTCAATGTAAGAGCTAAATTAATTTGCAGAAAGTGGAATAGTTCAGGAAAAGTTCCACTAATGCTGGGTTTCTGTAAAAGTGAAACCAAGTTTTTGGTGTAGAAACCTTGTCCCATACTAGCATTAAATTGAAGTGTGCAATGTTAACAGAAAAATTGGGTAAATATAAGAGAATATATTAATGGTATAGGACTTATATGAGACTCAGATTGACATCATACATTTAACATTCACAATTTAACATTGACATGGCATTTTAAGGTGAATCTCTTATGTGTGTTACTGTAAAAATGATAAGGTTGGTGTTTAGATAAAGCCAGCAAAGTTCACCTTTGTCTGTGCTAGGTGTCTGTTTGGTCAGGTTCAGATGCATGTGGCAAACATTAGAAGGAGCTGGAGCAATGCATTAATCCTGATAAATTACCCTAATTTTGGTATTAACAATTGACCCTGTGGGTAATAATAGATGTGATAGATGTTAGGCTTTACAGGAGGTTCTCTCTAGCTCTGCTTAGTTGGAAGTTATCTGATGCAGGTTTCGGATAAAACTGGAATGTCTTATGGATGTCTGTCCTACACGCTCCATTTAGCTGTAGAAACATTTCTGATCTTCAGTCATCACAGTTGAGATCATCACCTGTAATACAATAGTAAAAAGAATATTTGGAGGGCTAAATAAGCCAGGAGGACATTTCCTCTTCTTTTTTCAGTCTCACTGCCTGTCTTTGTTATGCCACATTTCCCACTTGGCTTCTCAAATGAATTGTGCAGAAGCAGCTCTGCTCTGGAACCAGGCTGAGAGAGCTGGGCTCCAGGGAGACCTGAGAGCAGCTCCAGTGCCTAAAGGGGCTCCAGGAAACCTGGAGAGGGGCTTGGGACAAGGGCCTGTAGGGACAGGCCAAGGGGAATGGCTTTAACCTGCCAGAGGGGAGACTGAGATGAGCTCTTAGGCAGAAGCTCTTCCCTGTGAGGGTGCTGAGGTGCTGGCACAGGGTGCCCAGAGAAGCTGTGGCTGCCCCATCCCTGGCAGTGTTCAAGGCCAGGTTGGACACAGGGGCTTGGAGCAAGCTGCTCTAGTGGAAGGTGTCCCTGCCCGTGGCAGGGGTTGGAGCTGGAGGAGCTTTATGGTCCCTTCCAACCCAAACCAGTCTGGGATTCTAAGAAGACTTCCCATGCCTTTAATAATTATTCTTATGGTTTCCTGGGTTTGTTTGGCTTCCCCTTTTTCCTATTTCTGTATCACCACTATGAATGTCATATAGGGACAGCAGATGTGTCGTTAATGTTGCATTAGAACCCTTTTGTTGCTGTTTAAATCTCCTTTCTTCCAAAAACTTTCCCAAATTATTTTGTGTTTGGACAACCTCTAAATGGAGAACACATAATGAAGAAGGGCTTATATGGAACTGAGTCTAACAACATCCTGTTTTCTTCACTTAAGTGGTACGTTTTTCCCCTGGAGGTCCACATACTATGGTTGTGTATTTGAGTAGTTCATTTATATCATTGTTACTGAGTTACACAATTCTGATGTGTGTTCTGCTACTATTTTGGGTCTGTGTTGGGTTTTGAGGTTTTTTTTTGATGTATCAGTGAAATATTGTAAATAAAATAAAACCCCTAATATGGGATGCCCAAATTATGGTTCCTTAGAAAAAACTTCCTGCTTGGAAAGGTATCATGCAATTGGTGATCCCGGGTGATTGATTTATGTGGTGCCCAAGGTTGGATCTGCATGAGTGGAAGTGAAGGAGATGGGTGCTGGAGCCCACCATGCACCCTTGGGTGGCTTCTGCTTCCCTGTAAGCATGCACAGGTGGGTGCTGGCTTGCAAAGGGACCATGAAGGGGTCATTGTCACCCAGCGTGTAAAGGTTTAAATCTGAAACCATCCCAACATCTTAGAAACAGGGTTTGTTGGCTTTGACATTGCACCAGGGTAGCGTTTTCCTCCAGTGTTTCTGGGTGGTCTGCACACCGTGAAAGGGCCATGTGGGCTACATTATACGTATCAGATGGCCTTTGGAAAGGCAAAAGTGTTTTGGGGAAACAAGAAACTGGATTAAAACGTCTTTGAAGTCTTAACTATTGATTCTCCACTTAGGAAAAGACTCTGCTTGTTCCCCAGATGTACCTATTCACTCTGAGTAGGTCTAAATAACTGTCTAAACACTGTAGGTAGTGTGATGAATTCGGAGCTGTCAGAGGAGAAAAACGAGGCCCCGGTGAAGCATAATTGCTGTGGTTAAAAGCTCAACAGTGAAGTGGATAGAAGAATAATTGAGTACTTCTGTTTCATTAATAACCAGCTCTTTTAGCCCTAATGAATCACAAGCAATATAACCAGAGTTTTATGAGTAAGAGTAGTGCCTCCAACAGCATCGTCGTGAGCAAATGCAAACAAATGTAAGCAAATTAAATCCCCTGTGGCTCCTGGCTTTGTCATTCATTAACATTTTCTTAGCAACTGATACCCAAAGGCAATTAATTCCCATTCTGTGTCAGGTGGGATTTTGTTCTGGCAGACCACTGGGTTGTTGGAGGGGTGCTTTTTATATATCCCAAACTGTGTAAATAGGGACTTTCAGTTTGTTGAGAAAGTGGAAAAACTACAGCTGTTGGCCTTCAGGCCCATTTAATAGACTTGGCTCCCTTTATGCCACACAAAGAGTGGTTTGCCTTTTGACATTAAACTGCTTACACTTTAAGGTCTCTAGTTATAGAATTGCTATTGTACGCAGCAGATAAAACCTTTTCTCGCACTGAATAGGTTATTAAAGATTGGAAGGTGTTTGCCAAAAAGAACTTGGATTCCTTTCCTGGAAGTGATTTCAATATCAGAGAGCTCACAATATGAAAATGCAGTGGTGTGAACTAGGGATGTAAATAAAGGGGAAGGTGCTTAGTTTTATTAGGGGGAAATCTAGATTAGCTGTTTTCAAGGAAGCCAGTGTGTGTTCAGCATCCTGCCAGACATCTGGTGTCTGCAGCACAGAGAATGTGAAACTGGGCTCCAAAGAGGAGACAGGACGGTGGTAAAGACTCAAGCAGGAGCAGACTGACCAGAATAGTTTTGATATATTGAACTCTGGCAGAGAAGCTGGAGCACAGCAACCACAACATCTCTAAGCTAAGAGAGCTGGGCTGGTTCAGCCTGGAGAAGAGAAGACTCCTTAACGGGAGACCTTAGAGCAGCTCCAGTGCCTAAAGGGGCTGCAGGAAAGCTGGAGAGGGGCTTTGGACAAGGGCCTGTAGGGCCAGGCCAAGGGGAATGGCTTTAACCTGCCCGAGGGGAGACTGAGATGAGCTCTTAGGCAGAAGCTCTTCCCTGTGAGGGTGCTGAGGCACTGGCACAGGGTGCCCAGAGAAGCTGTGGCTGCCCCATCCCTGGCAGTGTTCAAGGCCAGGTTGGACACAGGGGCTTGGAGCAAGCTGCTCTAGTGGAAGGGGTCCCTGCCCGTGGCAGGGGTTGGAGCTGGATGAGCTTTAAGGTCCCTTCCAACCCAAACCTTTCTATGATTCTACTAACTGAACTCTTCAGTGAGTAAGCCGTACTTTTGGAGGAGCTTGGCAGTGTTAAATCCCTGTCTGTGAGTCCATTATGACATCCATGCCTGTCAGCCTCACTGATGCATAATTTATATCCAGTCTTGAAAGCATTAAAAGTACCTTGGCTTTCCAGCTGCAACCAGAAAGAAAACCTAACCTTGGAGCTCTGCTTTCTCTCAGTGCTCCCTGGAAAGGGAAGACTTTAGAGGTGTGGAGCTTTGAGGGGAATGAAGCTTTATAAGAAGAAAAAGCTCAAGGGAACTATGCAAACGAGGAAAAGCTCTGGGAAAATTAGAGCAAGTCACTGATGTTGTGATGAAAGGTTGTCAATGGAGATGGTGACAACTGAAGTGCATTACCCATGGGTGCTGCTGTAGTAGAAACAGGTGTTGCCGTCCAACCTGTCTGCAGACTGGAACGCTCTGGCTGCAGTCCAGCTGCCGCAGAAATACATTAGGATTGGAGCTCAGGGCTGCATTGTTTGCTCCAAACACTCATTTCTTGTTATTCAGGTCCTGAAAGTTAAGGAGAAAGCTGAAAAAGGACAAGAGGAATGCTGGGCAAGGCTTCCCCCTCTCCCTTGGTTTGAAAATGGGGTCAAGAGCGTCTTGAGAAGTGACCTGAGGATAGCAACATTTGATGTCAATCTCAAGCTATCCGGATGTATTTTAGTCTCCATTAAAATGGGTGAATTTCTGTGGGAGCAGGAGATGTCTGTCACACCTGGTACCTACCCAAGGGTATACCTGAGTGTGGGATGTGGCTGCCTTTTATGTGCCCAATTTGGGACACAACTTTCCATTTTGCCTTAACAATGTTTTAAACAATGACACTGGGATGGTTTCACAGTCAATGCTCTGTCCTTTCATTATTTGTTGTCTCTTTCTTTCTGAACCTTTGAGGTTTTATAACCACTGTGGTGCAGGTCTTATATCCGTCAGTATGCAACGGCTGCTCATCTCTGGGCAGGTGAGGAAAAGCAGGATAGATTCTGGGAACAAATAGGGATCTTCTGGGCAAAGGGTTTAGGTTTTAGTTTAGAAAGATGAGGAGCTGCTTTAAGCCTGCAGCTTTTACTCTGGCAACTGAGTGCATCACTTTGCAAACTGAGCAACGTTTCTGAGCTAATGGTGTGAGTGTGCATGCATGCATGGGCACACGGGCATTGAAGAGGAGCTAGGAAGCATGTAGTGTTTTCTGCCTGTTGTTTTAATCGCTGAGAGTTGGAATGCCTGCTCGCTGTCATGGATTTTTGTGCTCCAGTGAAGCCCAACTATGGAAGAAAAATTAAGTTAAGGGTTTTATTTAGGCTTCATCTGGATTCTACTTCTCAATTTGGTGAATTAGAACCAGTTGTTTTTATTAACTTTGAACTGGATGGTGTGTTACCCTTTGGTTCATAACATGGTTTAGTCATTGTAATCAATTTTCAATGGAAAATGGCTTTTGAATCATCTTGCCATCCAGCTTTTCTGAGTTAGCTGTTTTTAAAGTGGTTTTGATTGTTAGAAGTGTTCTGTTGCTATCAGAAGGCAGTATTTTTGGGGTTCTTCAGATTAGGTACTTCTAGCCATGGCAGGGAGTAGGTGTCTGTGTGGCTTTGGGAGGCTTCAAGTGCCTTGTTGCTGGCATGCATTTGACTAACTGCCCCAGCTGAGGTGTTGGATCCCATTTACTCAGAGTAATGTAGTGGCTTTGAGCTGTTCAGAGGTTTTTCAATGGGAGATGCAGTTTTGGTACTGAACATTTGCTTTTCATCAGTTTTGTCAGATCTTCAGGCTCTGCACAGTAGGATAAAATTCAAAGGCTGTGGGGTGCTTTTGTTGGTGAACCTGGAAGGGGAAAACTCTTTAACACCAAAACATCATCATTATCAAATCATGGAATGGTTTGAATTGGAAGGGAGCTTAAAGCTCATCCAGTTCCAACCCCTGCCACGGGCAGGGACACCTTCCACTAGAGCAGCTTGCTCCAAGCCCCTGTGTCCAACCTGGCCTTGAACACTGCCAGGGATGGGGCAGCCACAGCTTCCTGTACAGCATTCATTTATCAGGAAAAAGTGTGATTCCAAATGTATGTTCTTTTGCTCTGATGCTCCATGTTAGTTCTGTTACTGCGTGTTTGTTTGTGTGGTCCTTCTTTCAGCAAACTCCAGTTCCCATTTTTGTGATTTCAGGTAGTGAAACCACAAAAGAAGTGAATAGGCTCAAGTATCTGGTTTACATAGTGCTTAAGCACAGGTATTTCATTTGCCCTCGCTGAAAGGGGAACTTGGTAACCATGCAACTTAAATGCTTTGATTTAGGAAATTTGGCTTGAAACCCTCCAGAAGAATCCACTTCTCAAGGACACCTTTGAGCAGTACAATCAGACAAAGAGAAAGTTTACCGGGAAATAGAAAAGGAACAACCCAGCAGCTTATGATCTAACAACTGGGAGTAATTTAATTGTGTTGGATGCCTAACATGGAGGAGACCATTAGTAGTCCTCTGGTGCCTTGGCAATAAATCATTCTGCAAAACTAATTAGGTATAATTCTGCAAGTCATTTGAGCAAGGTCCTATTAAAACCTGTGCTCCTAGGAGACCTGTTGTTAAGCTGCAGCATTTGTGGGAACAATGGAGGCAAAGGCAGTGCTGTTATCAGCGTGGGCCTTGTTATTCGCATAACAAAGTAAATCATGATGAAATGTCCTGTTAATAATAGTTAGGAAAGACATTTGTCAGCGCAGGGGATCTGGAACAACCGAGTGCGCTTCTCAGTGCACAAATGTAGCGGTGCCGTTAAATCATCCCCATAGAGCCTGGGGTGTCCAGGGAGCAGGAGAGATGAGTGCTGTGAATTAATGAGCTGACTTCAGCCCTGGAGAAGGTCTGCAGAAATGCAAAATGCCTATTTCTGTGTATTCAACACCAGGCTATATTGTTTAGAGATCGTTCTGTTTCATTTAGGAGGCATCTGGCCAACGATTAATTATAACAAATATGTTGGTGTGAACAGGGCACTGAATGTGCCAGAGCAAATTTCTTATGTACCTGATTTGTTTTGTTAATTTCTAACTTTGAATAAAAGACCAGGAGCAAAAGTCTTAGTAAATGGCTCTTGTAAAATCTGATGCTTCTACCCTTGATAACACCGTGTGCCTTCAGACTGCTTCCAATCTGCCTGGTACCGAGAAACATTTAAAGGGCTGAAATGCCCAATTTGCCCTTTCTAGTTAGGCACTCTTAATTGTTTTCAAGGCCTGAGAATTGCTAGGGAGGGATAACAGTCTGTTAGGTTTCACTTTCTGAAAGGAGAGAAATACGATCATCTGCTTTTAATAATGTAACTTGTAAACCTAGTCCTGATTTATAAGTGGCTGCCTTCATCATAGAGTCATAGAATCCCAGCCTGGTTTGTGTTTGAATGGACCTTAAAGCTCATCCAGCTCGAACCCCTGCCACGGGCAGGGACACCTTACATTAGAGCAGCTTGCTCCAAGCCCCTGTGTCCAACCTGGCCTTGAGCACTGCCAGGGATGGGGCAGCCACAGCTTCTCTGGGCAACCTATTCATCAGGCCTCTGGCAACAAAAGGCTTGTGGAAGAATTTCACCTGTGCAAGACAGTTGCCATTATTTCTTTTTGTTACAACGTAATATCAATTACATGTTTTTCATATTGCTCTTGAAGTCTGTAATTACAACTGCTGTAGCTTATAACTAGCCACAGAAAGCTGCTAGGCTGGGGAAGAAAATCACTTGAAAGATGCTCAGTTAAGAGCTTGTGGTGACCCTAGAAAAGTAGCAGAGGATACACAGAAAAAAGCAAGGGAGGGGAAGGCTTTTTTTGTCCAAATCACAATCAGAACTACATGAAAGGAGACATGAAATGCTTCTGCACAGATCTACCTGGCTGAGGAGGCTGTTGATGACCAGAGAACATTCATGGTGGTAATTGGGGCTGTCTGGATCCTGAGCTTATTCTCTTGAATACATTCAGCGCACTGCACATGTGCTGTTAGTTGATTGCTCCTGAAGCAGTAAAAAGATTGCTCTCTAGGTGAGGTCTTTTGTAATACTATTATTTGGGCTTCTTATAGAGCTTTTTTAAATTGACTTTTTATTTTAGTCTCCATCACGCCCTTGCCAGGCCTTGCAAGAGCATCCTATCAAAATGTTTCAGTTGTAAGCCAGTAGCATAGGGAGAGTCACATCCAGGTCTCAATGCTTAATTATAAGAAAGCCTGATGTAATGGAAATTTCACTTTTCATACATGCAAAATTCTGTGTTCAGGTTGCGAGATGGTAAATGTATTTTATCTCTTTGTATAGACTGCTTTCTGTGGTTGATATCATTAACTACTTGACTTCATCAAAATAGAAGCACAATGAGCAAAGCATTTAACTGTTATCTTTAACATATGCAGTTTTTACTTTCCATTTAAGTTGGTTAATAAGGAATGGGGGATGCAGACAAACGGCTTGATTTTAATCAATCTTCTAATTTTTTTCAGTTGGCCAAAAAAATCCGGGAGAAATTTAACCGTTACTTGGATGTTGTGAATCGGAACAAGCAAGTGGTGGAAGCATCATACACTGCTCACCTCACGTCGCCCTTGACTGCAATCCAGGACTGCTGTACTATTCCCCCATCTATGATGGAGTAAGTATTGAATTCTGGAATTGTTAATATGTGAAGAAAACAGATGATTTCTTTTCAGAATAGCCTGTATTTTCTGACCAATCTTGGTAACTCTGAAAGGGGTAAGACAGTAGTCCAAAGATGCTTCTTATCTTGTCCTTGTGTTCTTTCCCATTTTTACTATGTACATGTTTAATGACGAGCTCTAAACCAGAACGGGGTTTCTGCTGTGATGGGTTGTAAAATGAAACAAAAAGGATAAAAGTTTGTTCAACCCTTAATTGCATGGAATACAAAATGAGTCTGTCCAAGATACTGTCTTTGCACTGAGAGACTGAATAACTGAATAACTCTTCTGAAGCTAGTCATGGGACTCCTTTTCTACCCCCTCCCTTTGAAGTGCATTAACCAAAATCACAAGCTGGTCAGTACATCACATGCTGAAACTATTGCATTGCAGTTTAATCAAGTTGACCTGGTGCTGTTTGATGCCGAAGTTAACCCAAATTGAGTACATTGCTTAGGAACAGAATTTGTCCATTTAAAGTTTGTTTTGCTTTAAATACAGGAGTTTTCAATAGCCTAAATCTAGGCAGTTGGTTGTCTTTAATCATGTTTTATTATGCTGAATATTTGCAGAGGCTTCTTTGGGCTTCCTAATTGTAGGAAAGTGTGATGGACGGTCTGATTTTTGCAATAATTTCTTCTAAATGCTCAACATTTTAAACATTTACTTCCATATGTGCTAGAAAAGTAACTTTCACTTGATGCAAACCTTGATTACAGAGTGTGTTTTCATGGTTCATATCTGCCTGATTTAAAAGCATTTTGGGGAGAGGAAGGTAAATTGGGTAATAAATATTAAAAGCACTTTCTGCAACGTGGCTCTATGGGACAGCTTTTCTGCTAGTGACACTGTGCTTTCATCGTTCCTGAAGTATAGCATTAACCTTTTTTTCTATAAGGATTTAAAATATTCACTGCATTCAAATATGTGGTGTGAATCTGTGCCTGGAGAGGAAGGCCACTCGCTTGTTTTGTGTGCAGGTTGACTGACACAGAGGCAAGATATCTCAATAGGATTAAGCCTCAGGTGACTCCAAAGAAACGAGTACCTTGCCGTTGTGTTGTGTGTAGATGTCGTGGTCTTTGTGCAGTTCCTACTCACAAATGGCCTACATAAAATGCTGGCACATCTGGTGATCAACGGCCAGATATTTGGCAGTGTTAGTAGAAAGGTCAAGATTTAGTTGAGAATGAAAACCTTCCTGCCCTCTGATCTCTGCATGCAGGAACAGCAAGCTTCCCGCATAGGCTTCCAAGCAAGGGCTGAAGAGAAGGAGGAATGAGGAGATTTATCACCCCCCTGTCAGTATTGCATAATTCTTCATTAAAAAGTAAAAAGAAAGGTTTGCTCTGGAAACATTCCTGAGTTTCCTTTTGCTTTGTGCTCCAAAATTACTTAGTTTCAAGGTCCTGTAGAAATTCTCTTTCCCCAGGATGGACTTGCATAAGGGTCCTTCACAGGAAGTGGCTTAAAAAACAAACTGGGGTCACAGCTGGCTAAGTAAAGAGGTGAATTTTCTATTTGCAGAGCTCCTCGTTGAGGCATTACAATATAGAATCATAGAATAGTTTGGGTTGGAAAGGACCTTAAGATCATCAAGTTCCAACCCCCCTGCCATGGGCAGGGACACCTCGCACTAAACCATGGCACCCAAGGCTCTGTCCAACCTGGCCTTGCATACCACCAGGGATGAAGCATTCACAACCTCCCTGGGCAACCCATTCCAGTGCCTCACCACCCTCACAGGAAAGAATTTCTTCCTTAGATCCAATCTAAACTTCCCCTGTTTAAGTTTGAACCCGTTACCCCTTGTCCTGTCACTGCAGTCCCTGATGAAGAGAATATAAATAATATTAACATAATATAATAATACAATATATTATTATATATTATATCATACTATATCATCCATTATTAGAATATAATATGGTATTATTATATATGGATATAATATAGTAATATATATTAATATGATATGATAATGTAAATACTGAGAATTTTATTCTTATTATTTAGTTGCTTGGATTGATAATACTAAATCTGGTTAAGTGGTTACCAGACCAGTCTGTCAGTCTGCAGGATCTTTTGGGCAGCACTTTGGCAATGCCTGGTTGAGTACCTGTGCTTGAGAAAGGTGGCTTATCTGACCACTGGGAATATATCCACTCCTGTCTTCAGGAAATTGTCTGCAAGTCATGCAAAGAATGTAAAACCATGTTTTCCTTTAGAAACTTCACTTCCAGGGTTCTAGCACCATGTTTTGTTAATTGCCTGATTTGTCTAAGTGCTTCTGCCATCATTTGTTGTTTCTTCCCCTTCTGCTGTTCTTCCTTTCATTTTCCTTCTCTGTAGCATCTCCCTTCTGGGAGAATCTCCATTTTGGTTAAAATGTCAGGGGTAAAAAGCCAGTGTTGATACCCAACGTGGTGTTGTTGGGTCTTATGTCTGATACAGGCCTGCTAAAGGGGAAAGTAAAGTAAAACAGTTCACACTGGCAGAAAGTGGCTGCTCCTGAAAAGCCAGTTCTGCTGTTAGGGCTACCTCAAAACCCGTCCTTGTCTCCCTGTCTCTCCAGAAGAGGGATTAGTTTTTAATAGAAATCTCAAAATGCCATAACCTTCTTCTTAAGCAGAAGCTTTCCATTGACATTAAAAGCTTACATGCTCCTCAGGATCCCCCTTGGGCACCTCAAAACCTGATTGAAAGGGAAAGATATGGCCAGCAGTCAGATTTTGGAGACTGGAATACACATGTGAGTGTTCGAACATGGATTGAGGAATCATTTTGGAAACAACAACTGTCTCCCACCTGCATATTTTGAAGGCTACTGATTTATTTGAACTCTTCCACCTTTAATTTTTGGCCTCACTTGATCTGGCTTTGAGGAGTCCTGCACTGGTGAGAAGTTGAGTTAAATGTGCTGCTGTTGGTGACAGCTTATCTTTGGTGCTTAAAAGATGTGTGTTAGTGCTGGGCAGGAGAGTACTGGTGTTAGAGCAACAATAATTATAATAGTTTGGTTTAGAGCCTGTGTTAGCTGCTGCTATAAAACAGGGCACATTAAAAAGGCATGGATTTGTCTGTGCTATTTGCCATATCCAGGAGATACTTTGCTTTAGGTTGTACCTTAAAAATGCACGTGTCCTTAGGGCTCTGGCTTTTCTTTCAGGAGGCTTGTGAAATATCTGTGTTACAGCTCCTTCATTCTGTGTATTCTCTTTGTGCAGGGAGGTGTTTCGTCATGGGGCCTCTTTACTTGAGTAAACATTTGGTGCAAGAACAGTATCAGATGCATCTTATCTTCAGGGTATATTTTTAACGTAGATACGAAGGCCAGTCCCACAACATTTAAGGCTGCTTATGGTGATCGGCATCTAAATGCATGGTGATGTTTGAAAATCTGAGGGCATTTCATACTCTGAGGTGATTCTTCCATCAGCCTTTTACATTGTGTTGGGAATGCAGCAAGTTTGGATTGGCTTTGGAAAAATGACTTTGGAAGGAGATGATGAACTATTGTGTAGAGAAAGGTTTATTGAGGGTTGGTTTAGTGGTTTGGTATCTTTAGATTACATTTGTTGTTGCTGTTAAAATTACCCATATGTTGCCTTGTGTTTGCTTGCATTTACCTTGAAAATCTGAGCATTGGCTTTGAAGATACTTTGCCATGTTGCTTGAGATAAACCACACCGGGGCACTATAAATCAATGATACAAAATAAAACAAAGCACAAACTGGGATATAAAGTAAACCTGGCACTTGAATTGCTCGTTTAGTTGAGTAGTGAGACATGACAGGGAAAGCAGTGTTTATTGCATTGCCTTTATGTGGTGAAGAGCCCAAATGAGTGAGATTCCCTGTGACTGGGAAAAAACCTTCCCTGTGAGAGGAGCTGTGGCTGCCCCATCCCTGGCAGTGTTCAAGGCCAGGGGCTTGGAGCAAGCTGCTCTAGTGGAAGGTGTCCCTGCCCGTGGCAGGGCTCGGAGCTGGATGAGCTCTAAGATCCCTTCCAACCCAGACCGTTCTAGGATTCTATGACTGTGGTTCCAGTCTGTAGTGACTAGTTCTGAATTAAAATTAACAGCCTGTGCTTTTGGTTCTTTGTTGTACCCAGCATATACTGACCTAAGCTGGTTGAAGTACTAACAGTCATGTATTTGTTCTCCCCACTGAGGTAGGTTTGTGCAACGGAACTCCCTTGGTTTGGAAAGTAGTGAGAATAACTAAATCGGAGCATGCAAACACAACTTGAGGAGGCAGTGCAGTTGGTGGCTGTTGAGTGGTTTTGGCAAGGGACTTTTCCATAGGCCTTAATTCAACAAGCACGTCATCATATGCTTCTGCTCATCTGGTTTGCCAAAGCATTCAAATATGTGCTCGTGTGAATGGAAATTAATCATATGCATAAGTATACATGCAAGTACTGCTAAGTAGAGGTGGACTGCTAAAGTGGAGCAGGGCTATGTGGTTTTCTTTAGTTTTTTCTGTTCCTTTCTTCAAATACAGCATTTTGCATTTTCAGTTCTGCTTAGCCAAGGGTTGGGAATGGAAAAACCATGATGGTAATGAAGAGGCAACAGTTGATAAGAGTCATCAGAGAGGATAGCTCTCAGGCAAGCTCGGAAGTGGATGGTACAAGGATCTGGTATCTGTCCTATGATCCAGGCTTTATTTGTGTCCATGGGGTCAGAGCCTGAAGACTTGCTCCTTTCCTCAGGGCTGTGTGCTGCATTGAGGAAGTGCCCACAGCAGTTGAGAAGATGGATTGCTCCAATGTGACAGAGTTAATATGGATAAAGTGCTCTGGGCTCTTAGCAAAATGGATGGATAAACTGATGGGAGATAAGGAAAATGGATGTCAAGTGATTCTAATCCTTAAAGAAATCCCTGCTGGAAAAATAAGGCTTTGTGTTTTCCTCACTAATAATGGCTGATGAAGAAGCCATGAGAAACA